TACCACAGACTATAGCCCACTCAGCGGAAACATTTTCTTGTGTGCTTGGATCCTCCTTGGCATCGTTCTAACAGGTTAATTTTCCTATTTACAGGCTTTTCTCTCATTAATCAGTATTGTTAGTGAAGAGCATTAAGAAACTTCTGTGTTGTTTCTACAGCTCTGATTAAATCAGACCTCAAAAGACACGGCATCAATGTGAGCAATATAAACAAAGGACAAGCAGTAAGTCCACCTCATTTTTATTTCCAGTGTTGCTTTTCATCACTTTTGTGAACTAAATATGCCAAACACAACGAGGATCAAGATATCTCAGTGTATTTATAATCAGTTTAGTGCAAGATCAAAGTCAAAAAGGACAAAAGCCATGCTGTGTGCCTGAGAAAACGGGCCAAACTAGTCTATTAAAAATGTGAACATTGGTAGAGAAAACAGGCATTTTGCCTAGCAATATTAGAATAAAATGTAATGTCAAGAAATTAGATTTCTTTATATATATATATATATATATATATACTGTTTATATGTGTGTGTGTGTGTGTGTATATATATATATATATTCATATTACATCACATCACATCACATCATATTTAAACAAAGGACAAGCAGTAAGTCCACCTCATTTTTATTTCCAGTGTTGCTTTTCATCACTTTTGTGAACTAAATATGCCAAACACAACGAGGATCAAGATATCTCAGTGTATTTATAATCAGTTTAGTGCAAGATCAAAGTCAAAAAGGACAAAAGCCATGCTGTGTGCCTGAGAAAACGGGCCAAACTAGTCTATTAAAAATGTGAACATTGGTAGAGAAAACAGGCATTTTGCCTAGCAATATTAGAATAAAATGTAATGTCAAGAAATTAGATTTCTTTATATATATATATATATATATATATACTGTTTATATGTGTGTGTGTGTGTGTATATATATATTCATATTACATGACATCACATCACATCATATTTTCAGTATGATGTCTTTAAAGAAAGTTTATTCATCAACTTTTATTCAGATATTTATAATGTTACACAAATTTCTATTTCAAATAAATGCTGTTTTTTATTTTCTATTAAACAAAGAATCTTGGGAAAATGTATCATGGTTTTCACAAAAATGTTATGCAGCATAACTGTTTCACCGTTGATCATAAAAAGAAATGTTTTACCAAATCAGCTTATTAGAATAATTTCTGAAGGGTCATGTGACACTGAAGACTGGAGTAGTGATGCTGAAAATTCAGCTTTGTATCACAGGAATAAATGACATTTTAAAATATATTACTATAGAAAAGTTATTTTAAATTGTATTCCAATTTCCCAATATTATTGTTTTTACTGTATTTTGATCAAATAAATGCAGCCTTGGTGAGCATAGGCGATTTCTTTCAAAAACATTCATAAATCTTACCAACCCCAAACCTTTGAACGGTATTGGATTTGGCTTTCGGTAGCCTGTTGTTCAAGATAATAATTTTTGTCAATTTATTGCTGTCTTTAGGGAAATGCAGGTCTTCATTCCAGGTCTTAATGAGATCTTAATTGAACATCTGTTTGTCTCTCCTGAAGGTTCCCACTGAGCTGCCTTCTGAAAAAGCATCCAGTGACGTCAAGCAGGGGTCTTCTAGCTTACCTCGTGAGACTTCAATTTAAGTCTTAAATGTCTCCAACAGCACAGCAGACATCACAACAGATCACAGACTCTCCTGAGATGACTTGAAATCTCCTTATTTTGCTTTAATGTTATGATATTATAAAGAATTTTCAGTGAAAACGGACAGTGATAAGTGTTCACAAATATGCTGTGAATTAATTTCTCCAAATGTAGGCTGAAATGTGCACATACAGTCTGTATGTAAATGATACATGCATGATACTTTTTATTTGTTTCAAGAATTGTGGACCAAATATTAGGTATTTAACAGGGCTTGTAATGCCTATATGCACAATCCTGTTAGTGTGATTGGAACAGCATGTTTGTTTGCTTCGTCTCAAAGGACCTTTCTGACGGCGTGCTACTGTGAAGCATTGTTGTTCATTGTCACATCTGCTGATCATGTAATAATTCCACAAAGGCTATAAATTCACATTTTATTTATTCAGGATGATGAAGATTGCCCATATGTTAAATGAAGAGTGTTCTGTAAACCGAAATGGTCTTTTATGAAAAATTGAGTGCATGGGTAAACATGAGTGTTTCAGAAAATTAACTTACCATGATGAGACTGACGTCATTTTTAAGTGCTTATGCAGTCATTGTGAGATAAAAGCAAATGTTGTGTACTGCTTTTTTGACCTGAAAAACATAAAAGAACATTACACTTGTTTAGTCTTTTCCAGAGAGCACAAATCAATCTGTCAGTATGTGTGCCACATTAAGAATGTGTTTCGTTCAAAAAGGAATGTGATCCATTTACAAGAGTGTGTCGCTGACAGGCCTAGAGAAGTTTAATGAAAATGTCACACCTCAGACGTGTGGTAGAAAGAAGCACTATTATTATATAAGCCTAGGTTTGCCGTTTATTAATTATTTTTTTGTATTTTAGAAGCATATTTATTGGAAAGATAGCTTTTTCAGGATATTTTTTGTATTCATTTTTGGTTTCAATTTGTACTGTTTCTACTTAGTATACTTGTTGGTTAAAGAAGGCAGCTGTGCAAACTTGAGTTTCACGTGATTGTCACAAATGATGCTGGGAAATTCACTGTAAAGTAAAACTGTGCAAGAACTCGTTTGCATTGCAGTCTGGACACTGGAGGAGTGGAAATGTGTCATGTTTCTATCACTGCTGTTGTAAAATAATAAAAAGAATCTTGTCAAAATTAAGTTATGCTGTTTGCTGATTAAAAAAAAAACTTGTTCAATAAAATGTGAAATAATAGACGTAAATATATTGCAAATGTTTGTCATTTAAAACAGTTTTTTTTTTAAATGTGATCATTATGATCATTCTCATGCAAAGAACTATCATCCTAAAATTTGCAATGGCATCTATGTAGTTTCTTATTTAGATGTACAATTTATACTGAGAAATTAATATCATGAAAGTGTAAAATATTATTCTAACAATATTTAGTTTCCATTCTGTTACATATTTTCTACTCATAACAGTACTGTGAGGTAAAATTTATTTACTGTAATCTAATTGCTATTTATTTTTAAAAATATTTATTAATTTTTACACTATTTTTCTCTGAATTTTTAATGGGCCTACTACCACTCTCTTGAGGCCACATGAAAATTATATATATATATATATATATATATATATATATATATATATATATATATATTAAGACTTCTTGAAAGACGTTTTAGGAAGTAACTAAATCTGTATTAAAATATTATGATGACGTCGAAAATATAGTTAGTAATTAGTAGGCCTATAAAGTTTACAAGAAAAACAACTATAGATAGCACATGTAAAGCTGAGATTATCTACAAAACAGCATGGAGTATGTACACAGATTCAGCTGTTCGGACTGAATGAATTCCAAGTCCCTAGTCTTTGATGAAATGCAAACCTTTAGAAGGGTTGGAGCACTCTCTAGTGATCATACAGGACAGTTGTCATTTGTCACTCGTGACTAAAACGCCATTCGGTTGGAATTAAATGTGCTTTAGATGTGTTTTATCGCAACAACTGTCTTGTTTGGGTTTTTTGAACTTCACCTTGAAGGAAGAGCAGAAGCTAAAAGCATTCTGAAATAGTTGGGTAAGATATATTTCTTATTTCAGACACCTAGAGGAGATAGAATTGACAGTCGAAATAGAAATATACTAAAATATAGAAATATACAAAATATATTTAAATAACATAAAATGTTTGATCTTATAAATAATATAAAACATGATCACAGCTAATGAAATAAGCACATATATAAAATTGATACTTTATACTATTTATAAAATAATCATTCGTCAACCTGGTTCAAGCCTTGAAGCCTCTGCTAATGAGCTGATGAGTGGGTTCAGGTGTGCTCTATAGGGGAAACATCCAAAATATGCAGCACTGGTAGATGATTCAATCTGCGCATACACCTTCTGTTGGAGATTGGAGATATCTGAAAGATGATTCTGTGCCCGAACAATGAGTAACAGGGCGTTGTTACATACCACCACTACTCAACAGGAATAACAGGGCAACAGGAATAAAAAAAATATATTTTCTTATGAAATTGTAATTAAATATAAGCTAATTCCATATCATCCATGTTTTAGACACTGGGTATTTCTTCTTTATTTGTAGAACGACACTCTGAGTTAGGGTTAATATAGTTAGCTAAACTAACTAAAACCTTAAAAATGCATTACTGTCACTTGAAATAAAATAAAACCGAAATAAATTATTTTTTTTTTTTATTTAAGCTAGCTTTCAAGGAAACATTTATCATTTTCATTTAGTATAACTTTAATGTACTAAAATACTAAAACTGAAATAAAAATGACTAAAAGCTATATAGGCATAAATAATAATAATAATACTAAAGCTTGAACTGAAATAAAAAAATAATAATAATAAAAAAAGAAGAAGATTCAAATAAAAACTAATTCAAAATAATAATAAAAAAACCATACTAGTATCTCAATGATACTAAAATAACACTCCTGTGAGTTTTTACTTTCATGTGTTTTGAGGCCATTTTTAACGGAAAGCATGAAAAGGTGCAACAATTATTTTACTTATTAGAAAAAACGTAGCGACTGTTAAATCGTTAATGCCCTCAACGTACATTTTTTTAAATGGTATAATATATTTTTATGGTTTGGGTTTGACATAGTACACTATCACTTTAAATGCACATTTTAAAAGCTCACAAAAAAAAACCCTGCTGGCTACACAACGAAGGTTCACGCCCATTTCCGCCACTTTGGCCAATCACGTGCGGATCTATTGCCCTTATATGGAATTGAACCCGCCTCACTTTGTTGCTTCATCCAATGAAAAGCCAGTAGAACGTGGTTGGCTGTAGTTTATGGTGATACAATAACAGTATCAAAAAACGCTAGAGTGAGTGACCATTGTTGAGACCGTCAGTGAAAGCGGTTACACGCCTTCTCAGGAAATCAGATCATTCATTATTAACCTACTCTACAGTCAGGTGTTAAATTATTCTACCGTGGATTATTTAGCCCGTGATACCTCCGCAGGAGTCGGACGCCTCATCGGTGTTTTTAGCGAAAGGATGAAGTAGTTTCTGTAGCACCCTGAGATCCGGAGCTGATCGCCAACTACAGTATGCGGTTTACTGGGAACATATATGACCATTTCTGATCTGAAGCTCACTCAGTAGTTTGCTACAGATATGGTATCCCTGACCATTTTTCTGCCTTTGGCTCGTTTTCAAACCTCCTGAATTTTTACACTTGAGCAGGACCGAGTGGGTTTTGGCACATTAGTATACATGCTCGAGACGCAACATGTCTTTGTACATGAGTGCTGGGCAGTCATAACTGATTTGGGGAAAAACAAGGGGAAACTCCCCTCCGAAGACTCCTGAACAATGACAGGACCAAGCGCCACCAGCAGCGGCTCAACGGCCAAGATCAGCAGACACGGTCGGTCTAAGAGCAGCAGTACTTACTGTTACACTACCGGTCCGGCTGCTGAATCCTCCTCATCCACTGCCGCGAACAACACTGGTAGGTCGTCCGGTGAGGAAGAGGAGAAAGACGGCGGGGTCCCGTTTTTCGTGAACAGGACGGGCTTTCCAATAGACACCGTCACCTGGGACAGAATGTGGTCACACGTCACCAGAGTTCATCCTGATGGACAGGAGATGGTGGATAGAATACGAAATGCAACACACCTCCCTAAAGTAAGTGGAAAGTACTGGATTATTTATGTAGGCAGTGTCTGAGTCTCAAAACCCAGTGAGCTGTATGCCTAGACAATATTTTGGGTGTCATAAAGATGTCCAAAAATGCTGTCTTGATAATGATACCCCAAAATGTTATCTTGTTAGGAAGCTCATGTATGTTGATAGGCAGCTTATTTATATAATCCCCAAAAATGTGGTACCCCAAAATATCTAAAAATGCTGTCTAGCTATGGCAACTTATTTATATAATGTCCAAAAAAGCTGTTATGTTTGGCAAGTTACTTGGTTTTGAGTAACGGCCACTGTATGTGTGTTTGTACAGATGTACAGTTAAAAAACAATTGATGCAATGGATAAAAAAAAGGACAATTGTCATACAATTGTTTTGCATGTTTCTAGACATCTTGGAAGTACAATGGTACATGAATATAATAATTTTTTACCTTGGTATATATTAAAGTTTTCATAGATAATACCATCTGATACATCACTGACTGTACTATGGTAAACACATCTTCTCTGTCAAAGTAATATTTGACATAGTAACGTACAAAAGTTTGGGGTCAGTACTAACCATTTTTGTTTTTTTGGAAGGAAATTTAATATTTTATTTAGCAAGGATGCGTTTAATCGATTGTACGTGTCAGTAATGGCATCTGTGATGAAAAAAGTATCCCGTTTACCACAAAATATTAAGCAGCACAACTGTTTTAAACATTAATAATAAGAAGAAATGTTTCTTGCAAACCAAATCAGCATATTAGAATGATTTCTGAAGGATCATGTGACACTCAAGACTGAAGTAATGGCTGCTAAATATTTAGCTTTGCCATCACAGGAATAAATGACATTTTAAAATATATTAAAATAGAAAATTTGTTCAAATAAATGCAGCCTTGGTGAGCATAAGATATTACTTTCAAAAGCACACTCACAAAAAAAATCAACAGCTGAACCTCAAAATTGGCCTTTATATGAAACCTTGGACACATTTACCAGAATAATGTTTATATATAAATAGCATCTCACAAACTGCCATCTGTGTGACACAGTTTCCACCAAGAGGAAGTGCAGACTATGTGACATGTGAGTGGATTTACACTGTGCTACATTGTCCCTTCTCATAAATTTCATTACAAACCAGGCAAATGAGAGATCTGTTCCAACCAATGACAACTATGCAGAAACATGCCTCTGTTAATGCACATCAAATGAGGAATGATGCCATGTGACATTTTAGGACTTTCACTAGGATTAAGGTTGCTGCCATGTCCCTTTGTCACAATTTTGTTTTAACCTCCAAACATAAACCGATCAGGATTCATAGAGCATGCAGATGAAGGGCCTCGGAGGGGAATAAAGTGAATCTTAATCGCAGACCACGTAATCCTCAGTGCTCAGATGGACAGCATTCACAGGGTCAAGCAGTGTGTTTATTCTAGCTCTTTTGTTTTAGTTAACACTATTGTGTATTCCAGCATGCTCATATGTGCTGATGCATGCAGAACAAAGGCATCTGATTGGTCGAAAGTGTTGAGTCAGATCCCTAGATGTTAAAGTGATTTATTAAGGGACATTCCCCACCAGCAAGTGTTGAACAGGTGCGTGGAGTGACTCCATCAGATCAGCCAGATTAGGAGTCACGCAAACGGCTGTGACACTAGCCAGACATGTTAGAGCCATAGAGTGACAGTCCATGGGAAAGAACTCACTGTGAACCTGTGAATGATCACATTGATGGAGAATCAGAGTCTCCAGGACCTTGGATCCAAGGGCACTGCAGTTATTATGTAAACAAACCACATAGGCTACCAGTACAGCGGTGTCCATGCGTGTGCAGTTTAACAATATTCAAAAACTAAATAGAGTATTAATTCTAATTTATAGCACAGATGCATTCCTAAAATCATCTTTTGGGTTTGTTTTTTGATACAATCCATTTGCTAGTGTGCTATTACAGATAATCCACATAATTTCTGTTGTTTTGTCTTGGTAAAAATGTATCCCATCTTCCACAGAATTAAGCATGCAGCACAGCTGTTTTCAACATTGATATTAATAAGAAATGTTTCTTGAGCACCAAATCAGCATATGAGAATGATTTATGAAGGACTATGTGTGACCCTGAATGCTGGAGTAATTGCTGCTGAAAATCAAGCTTTGCTATCACAGGAATATATTACATTCTAAAAGATATTAAAACAGTTATTTTAAATTGTAATAATATTTCAGTGTTACAGTTTTTGCTGTATTTTTGATCAATCAGTTGCATTCTTGGTGAGCATATGAAGCTTCTTTCAAAAACATGAAATCATTTCGCCTACCAAGACCTACCAATAATCCCATTTAAATGGTAGTGTATGCATGCCGAAATGTAGCCAATCCTTTGGTTTTTGGAGTGTTATTTGGGATAATCTGCATAATTCCTGTTGTTTTGACAGTTGGGCCTTTATCAAATTGTTTTTGGGGCACTCCTTGATATCTCAACCAAAGGTCCCCAGCTAAAAATGTGTTCTTTATGGTGAAAGAAATACATAAATGAAGAATAAAGCCAAAATATTAAATGTTATAATACTTACTAATCCACTATTTCTGAGGCCTTATATGATTCTGTCAAAAAGCATGTGTGTGTTACTTTGCATACAGCTGGTACATCTGTTAAAGAGGAATGTCTGAAGAACAAATAATGTGGAAACTAGAAATATATCCTTTTATCAACATACCTGTCCCAAAAAAGATTCTTTTTCCAAAGTTTGCGTGACTGTAACTAGGAATGACCCATTTGTTTTCTGCAATGACTTTGTTACTGTAACGACTGAAAAGTGTACATCTGTTCTCTTAGATGGACAAATGTTCTGGGCGGCTTGTATCGTCACCTACAGTATGTGAGTCTCAAGTTTCGCTACAGTCCCACGGGTGGGCAGAGGTCAGCTAACGGCCCTGTGAGTGTGGATTGTGGCCTATTTATTGCTGACCTCCTTTCAGGGAAGGAGAGACCCAGTTGAGCCTGTGGAATAGAGCCTAGATGTAAACGAAACCTCTCTCAGAGAATTCAGACTGTCAGAATCAATATTCAGAGTGTCATTTGTATTCAAAGACACTTTTTGGAAATCAACACTGAACTGAAAGCCTGAACATAAATTAAAATGATAACTGTGCTGTGATAATTTCAAGCAGTGGTTCTCAACTGCTGGGTTTATGTTCTAGACAGCAGGCAACAGGATGATGAATGTAGACTACCTGAGATTTGAAAGAAGTCTCTTATGTTCACCAAGGCTGCATTTATTTGATCAGAAATACAGTAAAAACAGTATATTGCTGATTTTTTGTTTACTTTTATACAGTACAATAAAAATGTTTGTACTATGTTGAGTTGCCTTTTGAGTCTTGAAGCAAAACCAGTTGAGATGCACTGTGTTCAATAACACCATTTTAATGAGGCTATAAGTTCTTGTGACGTTTGTTACACCTCAGGTTTCTAAACACCTCTATTTAAGTGCTGAGAAAGAAGGTGTGTATTTGCACCTCTGCCTTCCAAAAGTTATTCTACTCCGAACAACAGCATTGTTATTCTGCCATCATAACATTGGCGCAAAATACAATGTATTTCTGCGCTTCTGTATCAAAAGGCTTCAGAAGTCAGCACAGACAGACAAGACTGTATTATCCTGCCTTCCTACAGTCTCTTCTGTTCTCTTGCACTGGGCAGATCGAGATAAAGAGGAAACAGTAGATGATTCCCTTTCTCATTTCCTCCTGTGACCCAGTAGCTCTTGCATGCCTCCAACACACACGGTGCCCTTATTGAAAGTAAAAACCAATGGTAAATCCTGCCTGCATTTATGTGTCAAGCTTTGGTCTAATGCTGTTAATGTGTTGTAATAAAGAGATTGTTTCAGATAGAGGACAGCCTTTTTTCTATCTTTCATTAATTGCTTATTTTCTTCTAATGAATGGAGGCTTGTGTGCGAGAGGATGACCTTTATTCATTGCTAATTCTCTTTGCGGTTAGAAGTGTCATTGTAGGGGTTTCAAATGATCAATGAAGCACTTTTTCTATAGATGATAAGGACTTTTCATGCCATTGAGACCTCAGAATCTGATTGATGAATCTCCTTGTGGTTACAAAAGTTACCTTGTGACTAGGTTGCCAACTTCAGGAGGATAAAAACAAGTGACAACCGCGAACCTCCCTTTCTTAATACTACATTTCATTTAAGATTTAAAAGGATAGGTCTGCCTAAAATGAAAATTGTCATCATTTACTTGCCCTAAAATCGCTCCAGAAATGTTTTACTGTCTTTTTACTGCAGAAAATGAAGGAATATATTTTTGTTTCGACTGTTCTTGTCCATATACAATGAAAGTCAGTGGTGTCCGAAACAACACTAGACTTCATTGACTTTCAGTATATGGACAAAACATTGAGACATGAACAGAAATTAAATGCTGCATGATCACAGTATATGCCTGCAGCTATGTATTTCTTTATATCTGTAACATCTTGTAATGTCATACTGAAGTATCACGCATTATTACACACATCAATTTAGCTTTTGCCAAGGCAGATTTTAACACTGGAGAATGACTGTGCATAATTCAAGACGACACTTGCTCAACTTGATGTTTTTTAATATAGCAACAAATCCAGTTGAAACCCAGCAAATAAAAGTTAACTAGAAGTATGTAACATCAATAACGTGACACTAGAATAAAAATATATGCACAAACAAATATTGGGCAAACCTGAATTTACTCCAGTCTTTAGTGTCACATGATCTTTCTAATATACTGATATACAGGATTCTTTGATGAATAGAATGTTCAAAAGAGCAGCATTTATTTGAGATAGGAATCCTTTGTAACATAATAAATGTCTGTTAATTTTGATCAATTTAATGCTGAATAAAAGTTTAAGGATATAGTTTGCTAATTCTCTCTCTGTTTTCACAGCACCCCATGCCATCGGTTCCAAACTTTAAGCCATCGATGTCTGTGCCTGATTGGCTCCATGCCGTCCAGAACTACATGAGAAACTTGCAGTATCCTTTACCCTCCACAAACCGTTTGCTCTGGAAAAGTTTAACTGATGTATTCTAAACCTCTGCTTCTTCTGGATGCATTATGGATTCATGGGCACTCATTTCTTTGGAGTGTCAGTTATGCTTTTTCGCTCAGTGTAATTTATTCAGTCAACTCGAGTTACTCAAAGTGCCTTTTTGGTTGGAGTGTCAGTCACTTTAATGTAGAGACATATTAGCATGGGTCTGCATACTTCTGGTAGTCTGATTTTTACCGTTTTCTTCCTCATGCTTTAAAGGCTGCCAGTGAAAATGGGGGGCTTTGATATAGATTAAAGGAATAGTTCACTCAAAATGAAAATTTGCTGGAAGTTTATACGCCCTCAGGCTATCCAAGGTGTAGATGAGTTTGTTTCTTCATCTGAACAGATTTTGAGAAATTTTAGATTAAAATTTGCATTGCTTGCTCACCAATGGATGATCTGCAGTGAATGGGTGCCGTCAGAATGAGAGTTCGACACTTGATTAAAACATCACAATAATCCACACGACTCCAGTCCATCAATTATAGTCTTGTAAAGTGAAATGTTGTGTGTTTGCATGAAACAATCCATCAAGACATTTTTAATTCAAATCATTGCTGCTAATATACGAGTCATCTATCCATAATATTGTTTTCTCCAGTCAAAAAGTTGTCTTGTCTGAATCGGAAGCAAAAACACCATAACAAACGAAAACAGATTTGATGTTGTTTTTGATGTGAGAGGACAACAGGGGATGGACTTTTTCACTAGTGGAAGCATTATTATGGTTTATGAACGCAGCTGTTCACTTCACAAGATGTTAACAGATGGACTGGAGTAATGTGGATTGCTTGCTTATTATTGTGATGTTTTTTTTCCAGAAGTTTGAACTCTCATTCTGACGGCACCCATTCACTACAGAGGATCCATTGGTGAGCAAGTGATGTAATTCTGAATTTTTTCCAAATCTGTTTGATGAAGAAACAAACTCATCTACATCTAGGATGGCCTGAGGGTAAGTCAATTTTAAGCAAATTTTCATTTTTGGCTGACCTATTCCTTTACGTTGGATATTGCCTTGTCTATGCTACTTGATGGTTAGATGACTTCAGCTGCTGTGGCTATTTATATTCATCATTGTGTGCGATTAATATATCAGCATCTGAATTTCCTCCCACAAATACAACAATGTCTGTGAAGGGTAATGAGTATGTAGGGTTCAACAGGATATTGTTCGCAGCTGTGCATTTTGACACGCATGAGTCACAATGAAAAAACAGGAAAATGAGGATTCCTAAATGAGCCGTACAAACTTCACGTAGCTCCTTAACTGCTGACAGATACAACCATACAGGAACGCAGTTCTTTGAGATTAAGAAAACCAGACCTCTGAGTGGGTAAGTGATGCCATCACTGAGGTATTTCATCATCCTGTCTGTCTACCCCGTCTTTCCTGTTTTTAGTCTTTTCTTTTTCCTGTTCCTTCTTGTTTTATATTTATTTTGTGCTCTTGGTGGAAAATCTCTTTTAAAAAGCAGGTGTGATATTAATTTAAAATAGTGCCAACATGCCTTTTTACAAAATATAGAGCTTATAACCAGACATGAAAACAAGTTTTAGGTTAATTTTAGATTGAAAAGAAGTCACTGACCCTGTATTGCATCAATCTTATCTCTTTCCAGGTTGATGGAGACCGCCAGAGAGATGATACGAGAATCACTTCCCATCAAATGCCTTGAAGCAGTTATCCTTGGAATGTATCCTTTAGCTTTACTGACAACAGCGTTGTTATTGTTAACAAATACTAAAACTATTAAAAACCGTTTTATTGAAAAAAAAAAAAACAGAAATAAAATTAAATATAAATATTGTATGTGACCCTGGACCACAAAACCAGTCTTAAGTTGCTGGAGTATATTTGTAGCAATAGCCAAAAATACATTGTATGGGTCAAAATTATCGATTTTTCTGTTAAGCTAAAAATCATTAGGATATTAAGTAAAGATCATGTTCCATGAAGATATTTTGTAAATTTCCTACCATAAAAATATCAAAACCTAATTTTTGATTAGTAATATTCATTGCTAAGAACTTAATTTGGACAACTTAAAAGGCGATTTTCTCAATATTTCGATTTTTCTTGCACCCTCAGATTCCAGATTTTCAAAAAGTTGTATCTCGGCCAAATATTGTCCTATCCTAACAAACCATACATCAATGGAAAGCTTATTTATTCAGCTTTCAGAATACATATAAATCTCAATTTAAAAAATTTGACCCTTATGACTGGTTTTGTGGTCCAAGGTCACATATGACAAACTTTTAAAATAAGTTTAACGACCAAAATTACTAAAACTAATAATGAAATGAAAATAAATTAAAGATAAATAGAAATATTACGAGTAATTGTTAAAAAAATGCTATAATTGTGTACATAAATAATGATTGATTGAATACACTCTCAATTGAAATCAATGAAACATGCATGGATAAATAATTTACAATAAGATCAATAACAAGCATTAGAACATAGATAGATGTGGGTAGCACTCACACTTTCTTCCGAAAATGTAGAAATCTAGTGCCTTTTTGTTTTAGTCTTGAACATCTTTCAGTCCCTAATGTATAAATCAGTTCTTATAAAAGTAATTATCACTATCGGGAACATGGAGCACAGTTAATTTGTCATGGGAAAGCCCCATTTCTCCCTTACTTTTATTTTTATTGTTGATTTTTCAATTGCTGAAATTGGGATGGAAGACTAAGCAGAGATCTGTCAAAGGCAATGTGCTTCAAATCACTGTCTTCCCTCATGATCCCCCACCCCTTCAACTCAGCCCGTAGCTTTTAGGCTCAGCTGTTGCTAGGAAACTAGGAGTCGTAGTAGATTCTCCTGAAGGGAGCCGCAGCTTCCTGTCCATGCAATCGATGCAGCTGTGCCATTCAGTGCCACTGGGAGGGTGAGTTCTTTCAGGAACTATTAGTGTCAGTTTGCGCATCAGATCCAGGCCAAGGGTTAAAGGTGTGGTTGATTGCGATTTCACTTTTTATAACGTTAGTAAGTTTCAAAATGTTCTAAAGCAGCGGTTCTTAATAATGTTCCTCGCGTCGCCTGCTTGGCCTCTCTCTCATTCAGATCATCAGCTCAGTTCTGTTCCATTTATACACTTATTTTCACATAGCTATGAGAAGCGTTAAACATGGACGTGTGTGCAGTTGCCGTACTGTATTAAAGCTTTAATCAGGACAAAACCGTATATTAAAAGCTAATACCAGCAGTAGAATTTACAAATAACAGCGTATCTAAAAGTATGAGACAACAACAAACAAAAAACATAGGCCTACCATTAAGTTTTTTAAAAAACGAAGCATTAACACATGTTAGACTGCACCCCATAAACACAATCAAACCTAGAAAAAAGCCAGTGAACCACCCCTTTAACTCAAGGTGAATGTCATCTTTGTCCGTGCAAATGCCAAGTGCAGCAGAGAAATGTTGTGGAGATCTGCTTTGCAGATTGCGGTGTGTTTCACGAGAGCCGCAGTGAGGACTGGACTCAAACATCATAACAATGAGTAGAGTATCAGAGAACACTGAGGCTATTGTTGTTGTAAATTTAAGGTTGCTATAAGCCATTAAAAAAAAAATACTGCACCTAAAAAGTTCTTACTAGACAAGTATATAAATGGAAAAACAATCATTTTAAACCCTCATTCTGACTTTCTGTGTGAAATGATCAATTTTTAGTCATATGCAAATGTATTTGCCCTTATAACGTCACAAATCCCACAATATCCAAATGAGCCATTTCTACAGTAGAGCTTGATTAAATGATTAAATGTCATGACCCCTTTAAAAATCTGTTTAAATGTAAAAGAATAGCAGAATTCACACCACAAGTATAACGAAATGGTGCTGAAGAACAATATTGTTGGAATCACTTCCAAAACATTTTTTTTTCAGCTGATGAATGATAAAAACATCAACAGCCAATCAGAATCCGTTCTGCTTTAAAGAGTTTGAGTGTTTAGAGTGGCAGATGACAAAACTGCAGCGCGTGCTTATAATAAACAGAACTATCATTATTAATGATTATCATTATTGTTATCTTTGTAGTTCTTGGTGTGAATTTGCCTTTACCCAATCAGAACATAACCAATTGTGTGAGCTTGGGGGCGGGGCTATACCTAGTGCAATTCCATTTGTTGTTAATAGTAGCGCAGAAACCATTTATGACAACTTAAAAAACATTTCAGTTGGGTCTGAACATCAAAAAGAAGATATCCTGATAATAATTTTTTCAACTGTAGGTGTCCACGATGGATTTACCCCAAAAAATGGGATGTAAAACTAGTTTAGGCCATATTCTTTTAAACTTTTTAAATCTGCAAGGTCAGCATTTTTAACTGTTATATCACAAGGACAACCCAAGGAGAAGTGTTTGGTCTTCACTTATTTTTCATACAAAATTTGGATAGAAATTAAGTTATCAAAAGACTGTCTGCATATTCAAACGAAGACAAAATGAACAAAGTGAAAACTGTGTGCTTGGAACCTATATCAGAAGTAATCCCCGCAGGTTTGGGTATGCGTGCATTGCAGATAAGAATGTTGAAATTCACGGCACTGCTGCTGAGAGGATCACATGGCCCTGCTGATGGGTAATGTGATCCTCTGGTGTCTTCTCATTACAACACTGCTGGGGGGTTTTGTGGGTGTGTGTATTTGTGTACACAGAGAGAGAAGGAAACTCAAACGAGCTGCAGACGAACAAAACCATACTGAATGAACCTGTATTTACTTCGAATAACAACAAGTTTTGTGTTCAAAATGCTACAAAAGAATAATGGGCTTGAGTTAACAATTCTCCTTTTGAAAAAAATCTAAATGTAACTTTGCTTTCTCACTGTTTTGTCTTATTACGTATGATTCACCAGTGTAAAAAATTCTTCTGTAAAAAATGTTTGCTTTACTTAACAAAATGTAAAGATTTTCACCAACCAGTAACAACGTTGCTGCTGATGATACCAAGGCCTCAATTAATATGAACCTATTTGCAGCCTACTGTTCGTGAGCCAAATCATTTATTATTGCTTGGACAAAATGCTGCAGATTTCTTTGTCAAATTGAAATGTCGAATAGCAAAACTAAATTGAAATTTTAAAATAAACAACAAATCAAATAAATAAATAATACAAATAAAAGAAATATCTTCATTGAAATTGAAATACACTTTAAATACACTTTATTCATATGAACAAAGGCTTTGCTTGTGCTCTTTCCAATTACAATTAAAGGCAACCACTGTATTAATCACGATCCAAACAAAGATGCTGCATAAATGCAGCATGAGCAGTTATTTTATGTTCTGACTTTAGCTTTGTGAAACTATACTACATAAAACATCTGCACAAAACAAAAACAGTAGATGGGCTGAATGAGAATGCAATTTCACTCTCTGACAACAGGTGACGCTTATGGAACAACAGCGATACAGCGTTTCCTTGGTTACCACTGTAAATAAAGCAGCACTGCACTTATGAACACTACTATACTATGTATAATACAGAGGCAAGATGAAAAGAACATTCCATCTAAACTATCCTAAAGACAGTCAGTTCCCCTCAGAGATACATTCATATGAAATCCCACTCCCAAATGTATCGCGATTAATTTAACATCTCAACCGATTTGAATGTGACGATTTGTGACAACCGGTGTATCGTTACATCCCAATTGAGGAACAGCCTAACTGTTTGTGGACCACTGGAGTTTTTGATTTATAGATGAGAATGCTTGTGTTATGGAATACCAGCATATTGTGCTAGTGATTGTCTTTGAAAGGCAGATGGCAAAGCAGTGAAGCCGTTCCAGTACGTTGCGTTGTGTTGTTGGACACACATGGCTCAACAGATCTGTGGTATGTGCTCTTGGCTGACTTGGCAGCTTGAGCGATACCCAACAGCAAAAAGGCACAGGCACACTGTTTACTGACAAGTGTGATGATAATGATTAATTTAAAGGGTGGTTGCAAAAAATAAAGCATCATTTCCTCATTTTAGCAACCTCAAGGCAACATGAATTCAAAATTAGCATTAGAAAGGAGAACAGCAGTCATGCTAATCTCTTTTTGTTTTGTTTGTACTGTATTTTGTAAATAAAAATCATGGATACCCTAAAAGAAATACAACTAAGTTTACAGATGTGATTGATGGCATTAAAGGGGTCATATGATGCGATTTCAAGTTTTCCTTTCTCTTTGGAGTGTTACAAGCTGTTCGTGAATAGATAATCAAAAAGTAGTATTTTTTTGTCCATAGTTGCAGATGGGTCCTGGTGTGAACCCTGCTGATACACTTACAGCCTGGTGACTCCTCGTGGCAGCAACTGCCGCATCATGTGTTGCCATGCCGCAGTGAGCACAGATCACTTACATAAGACCACAGAAGAGATCAGGCAGAGACAAGGAAAGGCCCAAGGGGAAGGCCAGTCTAGCTGAGTGTCTGCTGACCAACTTCAGAATCAGAATCAAAAAGAACTTTATTGCCAGGTATGTTTACACATACGAGGAATTTGTTTTGGTGATAGAAGCTTCCACAGCACAAAGAGATTACAGTGACAATACACAGTGAAATATTGGGTGGTGTGTACTGCTGAATGTTCAGCAATTCGTCCCTGGTGAAACTGATTGTGGGAATATAGCTAAAAACGGGACAAACTAACAAAAACATTAAAACAACTGGAGAGCTCCACACCGAGGCGGCCATCCGCGGCGCCATGTTGTAAGCAGATACAATCACTCCCCTGCAACATCATGGAAAGAGAAGGTTTTTGTTCGACTTGAGATGTTCGGCTTTTTATATTAATGTTATTAGAGTTCGGGTTGTCCATATTTTTGAACTAAATTTTTTGACATTGTGTAGTTGGTCATTGCTTGGGTGTTTTTATTGGTTCTTGCACATGCGGACATTGTTGCCACAATGCTAGAGTGTTATGGATGGTTGCTAGGGTGTTGCTATGCAGCTTCTAAGTCTAAGGCCGCGTGTCCACCAAAGCGTTTTTCCCTAAGGCTAGCATTTTTTTTTTCAATTGTTTTCAATGGGAGCGCCGCGTTTTTTAAAACGCCAGGAGCATGCCGAGCGCTGAGCGTCTTTTTCACGTTGAGCGCTCGGGCGTTATTTCTCATCACAGAGAGTTGAACAATGTTCAACTTTGCGTAAAACGCATCGCTTATCACTGTCACTTTTTAGTCAGCTGACTAAAAGCTGTCGGTTCTGAGAATATACTCACAAATATTAACTGTCATATATCTTAATAGAGTCTTAACTGGTTGTTAAGGGCAGCTTCTTATTGACCTAAAGTAAGTCATTAGCTGATCGATTTTCAGGAAGTAAGCAAAACTAAACTTACTGAAAGCTCTGATTGGATTTGGAAAAATCAATAGTACACACCAAGTTAAAAACCTTGGGGAGGATTTGGTATTTTTCATGAAACACTTTGGTATCCTCCGGAATTTTAACACTGATAAAAATCTATTTGCCATTTAATTATTACTTCATTAACGAGCAGCTGCTATTTTTTGACTTGAAATTTTTTGACTGATTTCACCCAACCTGTCGTGTTTAAACCCATCACAAATGAACGTTAGCGAAATCCTTGACCCTCTGTTGCCAGCTACCTAACCAACGGTCTGACCTCCGTAGAACGGTTCCCCATCAGCTTTAAGACCCAGTTCTCCGGCCACCACTTCCATCACGTGGTGCTGGGCGTTTACTGTAACGGCCGATATGGCACCCTGGGTATGAGTCGACGTGCTGACCTTATGGACAGATCTCTGAGCTTCCGTACGCTCAGCGAGTTGGTGTTTGACTTTGAGGACTCGTACCGCCTCTACCAGCACACCATGAAGAAGATCAAAATTGGCCTGTACGTGCCCCACAATCCGCACGTTTTCCAGCCTGTTGAGTGGAACTATCTGGTGATCAACGCCTGCAAGCAGGGCCGTGAAGACATGCGCAAAGAGCTGGAGAAGCATGGCCGTGACATGAGGATGAAGGTGAGTCCATAGCCTTTTAAGATACAGTGTTATATTTAGTATCATTGATATAATATGGTATTTTTGTTAATATTTTGAATAAAATTTTGTTTTAATTTATTTATATTTATTTAGTCATTTTAGTACTAAATAAGTATGTGTGTGTGTGTATATATAATTATATATATATATATATATAATTATTTCAGTTAATATTTATTTTATTTCCAGTAATGAGAATTGTTTTATGCTTAACGGCTGTTTTCTAAATGTGTTATTGCATTTGCGCTATTTATCTTATTGTGAGCAAACCTATTTTTATTCAATTAATTTTTGATTAAATAAAATTTTTATCAATACCATTACTATATTATTGATATCGTTTATAAGTATATTATTGGTAAATTATAAATATTTTATTGATATTTTATATTTATATTTTTGTTGCCTTATAATTTTGCCAAAATGACATCTTAGGTTTTTGGAACAGAGATTTAATGTCCCTCTCAAAAACTAAGGTAGGTCAGTATGAACTAAATAAGGTCCTGTGGGAGGCGGAGCCACATTACAAGGATCACACTTTTTATACTCTGTTATTTTAAAGTAAACACTTGGAATGTTTTTCCCTGGTTAAATTATGACTGAACCAGGTTCAGGAGAATCTTTATTTGTCCTTGGCCGTTTATGAAGAGCTAGACCAGCATAACAGCTTGACATCATCTGTATGACTGCAACATGGGACATGTTTATCATCTAGACAGTAAAAAGTAGGTCATGTGCTCCCAGTTTCTCACATGCAGTCTTGACTTGTATGGATGACCACAATCAGCTGTGACATAGTTTCCATGAACCACATGAGCAGACAGTGGAAACTGCTCTGGATGTTTAAAAGTAATGTAGGTGTCTTTTTATGGATGTTGAGGAATTTGGGGCTCACTCTTCAAAACATTGCATTTGTGATCTTATTGTGAACGATTCATCCATGCATGCTTCATTTTTGACTTTTTTTTTCATTTTTAACATTTTTTTACTTTGTAATCAAAATGCTATAACTAAAATATATTATTAATATTTTAATAAATATATTATTTATATTTATTTATATAAAGAGAATGTAATTCCAGAGAGTGGAAATTTCACTCTAGATGTTTGAGTGGAATGTAGGCATATTTTTATGGATGCTAAGGAATTTGGGACTCGCTCTTCAAAACCTAAATGTTTTTGCAACTTGTCTTTTATGTTTAGGCTATATGAACATTTCAGAGCATGTGACAGGAATATATATGTATAATATATGTGCATTTTCTGGAACAAAGCCTTTTTGACTAACCAATTACTAAACTAGTCATCTTTGAGTCAAGGACATTACAATTATATGAGTAATGAGTTTGCAGAAATAAAATCTAAATTTATTATTGCAGTCTACCTTGAAGGAGTTTCTTAAGGTACTGAACACCCAGCATCTGGCATCATCAGCATGGAGCCGACAGAGTCATTCATAATGAATTTTAAAAATCAACTTTTAACGACTGAGAACATCTCAATGTCAAGTTGCCTCTCATCACTTGTGCAGCTCATTTGGGGAAAACATGATATATAGAGCGATTGAGTTTGGGAAATCTGTTGTCTAGTAGCATAATGAAGTTAATACTACTACATAATGGTCTATCTGGAACTGTGTTGAACTGGTTTAAATCTTATATTTCAGAACGTTCTCAGTTTGTTTACCTGGGTACTAATAGATCTTAGACTGCGCCTTTGTGTCAGGGTGTCCCTCAGGGGTCAGTTTTGGGACCTGCTCTATTTAGTATTTACATGCTGCCTCTTGGGCAGATTATTCAGAAGTATGGCCTGGGCTATCATTGTTACGCGGACGATACCCAGATTTATATTAGCACTCAGCCTGATTCCACTTCTTCCTTTTTAACTCTTTCTGCCTGTTTGCTGGAATTTAAGGCATGGATGAAACACAACTTTTTAAAACTAAATTGTTCTAAAATGGAAATTGTATTAATTGGCACTCCATCTAATATTACTAAGTTTAGTCATTTTAAACTTTCAGTTGACAATACCCAAATATCTCCTTCTGCTCAGGTGTGTAATTTGGGTGTGATTTTTGATGCGCAGTTGACTTTTAATTCTCACTTCAAAAACATAACTAAAGTTGCTTTTTTCCATCTTCGTAACATGGCTCGCATTAGACCCTTTCTTTCTAGGCCTGATGCTGAGAGGCTTATTCATGCCTTCATCACATCACGGCTCGATTATTGCAATTCTCTCTTTGGGGGTTTACCAGCAAGTTCTGTTAAGAGACTACAATATATTAAAAACTCAGCTGCGCGGGTTTTGACTTATACATCCTCACGCCATCACATTACCCCAGTGCTCCAGCAACTTCATTGGCTCCCAGTTCGATCACGTATTGATTTTAAAACTCTGATTTTAACATACACTGAACAAAATTATAAACGCAACACTTTTGTTTTTGCCCCCATTTTTCATGAGCTGAACTCAAAGATCTAAGACTTTTTCTATGTACACAAAAGGCCAGTGCTTGGGCTGGCTCCAGATTACATTTGTGACTTGGTAACTCTTTCCACACCTTCTCGCTCTCTCCACTCTGCTTGTTGTTTTTCCTTGTATCAGCCTCGTTGTAAATTAAAAACCATGGGGGGGAAGGCTTTTTCCTATAACACGCCTAAGTTATGGAATGCATTACCTGTGTTTATTAGGAATGCTGCTTCCTTGGATTGTTTAAGAAACTTCTTAAGATGTATCTTA